CGGGCTGACCCGCGCCGTGACTCGGCGGCCCTCGCGGCAGTGGGTTGTCCTCACGAGCTGTGCTCGCAGCGGCGGCGCAGGGCGGAGTGCCTGACGCGGAGCTGGACGGAGGAAGGTTTCCCTGTCCCACCGACCTACACGCCAGGAGGGCAAGGCCAGCTCCGATCTCAACTCTGAAGCCTTCCCCAAGCCTCTTGCCCAGAGGCCCCTCCCCCTGCCTTGCCTCCCCCTGCCCTGTCCCTGTCTCTTAAGGAGGGTTCCAGCTGTGTCTCCACACAACCAACAGGTGGAGGGTGGGGACCATCTGTGCCCCTCACAGGGCAAGCAAGCAGTGAATGGTTTTTCCGTTGACGACCACTGTGAGCCCGCCCAGGCAAGTTCCCCCGATACGGAGCAAAACTTGTGCTAGAGATCATTTGAACAAGAACGATTCGTTTCCTAAGAAGCTCGTTAGTTTTCCTCACATGGTATACTGTTATTGGGCTTTGCTGTAGACTAAGGAGAGCTCTGCCAAATCGCATAAAATGATAGTCCATGAACAGTTGTCTCATGAATTACTCGCTAAAATTTGAGTTTCTAAAAGTCACAAAAGGGGGCCGGCCTGATCCCAGGTGCGGACATGGCACCGCTTGGCACGCTATGCTGTGGCAGGCGTCCCACATATAAAGTAGAGGAAAATGGGCACAGATGTTAGCTCAGGGCCAGTCTTCCTCAGCAAAAAAGGAGGATTGGCAGCAGTTAGCTCAGGGCTAATCTTCCTCAGGAAAAAAAAAGTCACAAAAGGTATCCCTATTTCTAGTGGTATCTGATATTAAGTGGGTTTTTTATAAATGTCTGCTGAATTAAAAAGATTGCAGGTCCAAACACAATGCCACAGGAAGAACCCACTTGATATCTTCATGTGTTCAAAAAAAGTGACAGATGCTGCCAATACATTGACTAGCTTTACAGTCAATGATCAGAGAAGGACAAAGACATTTGGCAGCTTGGCAAAGCCCGTCACATTGACTGTAGACCCAAACCAGAAGGTAATGTGAAGATAACCAATAGACGTTTCAATCTAATTAGAAAATGCTTCTTAACTAACAAGATTTTAGATTAATTCTGAGTATCAGTACAGCGTGTACTCTGTATTTAAATAGCCATTAAATAGCAGCAAATAGCCATTATATTGTTTATAGTAGCTTTATCAGCAGAGCAAGTGGAAGCATGTCGATCTTCACATAATGTAGAAACGGATAGCAACAAAATCACGTGTCCAGCCCAGGGTCTTGCTGAGAGATGACCGATGTGACCAAGCGTAAGCCCTTAATTCATTACTGAAACTTCTGAAATTTTGTCCCCAAATGCCTAAATACAGATGTGCTTTTCTTGTGCTCTCAGACAGTCATGGACATATTGACCCCTCTCTGCGACCCGTCTGGGAACTAGCTTTTCTCGGCAGCTCTTACGTGATGTGGGAGAAGACAACGCGGTTTTTGCACTACTACATGGCACAGCTGAGCGGCGTGAAGCAGTGGGTAAGAAAAGCTGAAAACGAACCCGCACCGCAAGAGGTGCAACCAGTGCAGCGTTCTTAGGCTGAGTCCATGTGAATTTCTAATTTCATGGCAAGAGTTTTCATTGCATTTCATTCATTCAATGAATGTTTGAATGCCAGCAGTGGGCCCGGTGTTCCTGTAGGGACTGAGGATACAGCAGTGGACAAAAACACCATGTTGCTGTCCTCACTGATGAAGTCCAGTGAGAGAAGAGAAGACAGGGAACTAGTCACCAAGTGAATATGCACCAAACGGCGCCAGGTGCTGCAGAGAAGCGTGAAGTGGGCCAAGGGCATGCAGGGTACGGATAGAATTAATGCTTCAGTCTAGAGGGTGAGCAGAGGCGGCCCTGGAGCAGAGGCCTGAGGGAAGTGAGAGGGAGCCCGCCTCCAGCAAGGAAGAGCACTTCAGGCAGAGGGGGCCGATGGGCGGGAGAAAGGGCAGTGAGGGTGGTGTGCCAGCACAGAGTGAGCAAGGAGTGCGCGCCAGGAGAGGAGAGCAAATGGGATCAGTTCATGAGAGGCCCCGGAGGCCGTCAGGACTGCGCCCGTCACTCATTAGAGGGTGTTTAGCAGAGGCGTGACGTGACCTGACTTCCAACAGGATCATTGTGGCTGCCGTGTTGAGAAGAGTGGAGAGAGGTGGTGGAAGCAGGAAGACCAGTGAAGTATTGCAGTAATCTCGGCGAGGCCTGGGACCAGGGCGGCAGCAGGGGAGGTGGGGAGAAATGTTTGGACTTGGGATACAGTTTGACGATAGACTGATAGTATTTGCTGATGGGTTGGACATGGATATGAGAATGAGAAAAGTCAAGGATGATTCTTAGGATTTTGGCCTGAATAACTGGCAAGTGTTCATTTACTGATTGAGGAATACTACAAGAAAAACAGATTTTGGGGGAAATAGCCTGATTTGGGGCATACTAAATCCTGTAACCAAGTAAAGAATTTACATTGTCATCTGGACATAAGGGTCTCAAGTTCAGGGGAGAGGACCACGCTGGATTCACCATCACACAGGTGCTATGTAAAGCCGTGAGACGGGATGAGATCACAGAGAATGAGTGGTATATACAAAAGACAAGAAGTTATGTAAGGGTGGAGTCCTGGAACACTTCCAACTTGAGAGGGTGGAGATACGATGAGAAAACAAAGTGTTTCAAGGATGAGGTCGACTGACTGTATCAGATGCTGCTGGAGCGTCCAGATGAGGACTGAGAATTGACCATTTGATTTAGCAGGTGTAAGTCGATGGAGAGCCCGTCAAGAGCTATCTCACTGGCACAGTGTGGCAAAAGCCTGGTTGGAGTAGGTTCAGGAGAGGCTGGGAGGAGTGGACACTCCATCTCTTTCAAGGAATGCAGCCATAAAGGGAAGTAAAGAAAGGGAGGGTCTATAGCTGGAGCATGGGTAAGCACAGGGTTGAAAGGGGATTTGTTTTCCTGATGTATTTTCAGGTTGGGAGATTTAACAGCATATTTATATGTTGATGAGAAAAATCCAGTAGAGAAGGGCAAAGTAGGACTTGTAGGAAAAAGAAAGAATTGTTGGAGTTATTATCTTTGAGTGGTGAGAGGCTAAGATGGATCCAGGAGATGATCTCAGCCAGGAACACAGAGCTCCCCTGGAGGGAGGGCGGGGAAGAAGGGCACAGATGCTGGTAGCTTAGATGTCACCCTGGTAGCTTGTGCAAGTTTTATTCTAACTGCTCCGTCTTCTCAGTGAGAAATGAGGCAAAGTCATCAGCTGCGAGTGGATGAGGTGTTGGGAGTGTGGGGGGAACGCATGGACTTGAGCATCACGCAACACTGCAGGCCGCGTGAAACTTGGAGGAGGACAGTCACTCAGCTGTGTGTGCCGGCACGGAGTAGGTGGAGGGCTGGATTTAGCTGGGGTTGTAGTTTTTGTCAGGTAAGAGTGATGGAGAGAGAGGGGCATTTCCAGAGTAAACGAATCAGCTACTCTGAGGGCGGCAAGTGAATCCGACTCTAAGTTCAAGTTTCTAAAAACCATCCTCTTCATGGATGGGCGACGTGGTGGACTCACCCATGGATGGGTCATCAGTGAGTATCTTCTGAGTACAAGGATTTGCCCAGCATCAGGTCAGCATTATTAACGCCAGTAATAGTTTGGTGTGCCTTCCAAAGGCCACTAGTAAAATAGACAACTAGAAATGTAGTTTTTTTCTTTATTTATCAAAATGAAAACATTTCTTCCCCCTCATAGAGTGCTTTTTAATAGGAATTACCATTTGATCGATTGTTGCTACATTATCAGTCAGGATGCAGCACCAGTTCTTTTGCTAGATAAAAGTTTCTCTCTCTCATCTGCTACGATGATCATGTCCTCAGCAAGGGGCTTTGACCTTCCCTGAGAAGTATGGGGAAGGTTTTTTGTTTATAGACTAGAAAATGGTGTCAAGATAATTTAGAATCAATTGTAATGAATGCGAGAGGAGAACTCAGTAGGAACAGATGCAGAGACAACACGGAGCAAATGAGGATCTTTTAATGTCAGTGCGTTCCTTTCTTCTGCAGTTGTATGTGGCACAGTAGCAAGCAAACCACCAGGGCATCCATGTTCCAAACAGCAGCCCCATTTCTCTCTCGTTCTGGCCAGTCTTTGCTGCCTGTCATCCGTCCGTTAAAGTCCCTCAAGCACCCTGCAAGGGAGAAAGTGGGGACGAGTGTAACTGGAGCATCAGGAAAATCAGAATGCAGAGGGAGAATGGCCACTAAGTAGGAGCTTTAGATTTTTTCACCCTGTGGGATTTGAGTTTTAGAAAAGTAATAGTGGACTATGCAGCTGACTTGCTGGATCACCCAAGGCAAATCCCTTCATCTCTCGGGGCCTGTTAAATGCAGACTAGCAAATTTAGTGAAGCCCTCTAACTCACAGAAGTCTGAATCACCAGAGCAACTGGGAAATTTGGTTTCAAGGTTATAGAAAAGTATGCACAGAGTGGCCACAGAGATTTTCAAGTTCTGCTCTTCAGTGGCCACTAAGGATTCCCAAGATCTTTCAGCAAAACAAGCAAGAATTTTTAAAAAGTCACTCAGATGAGAAGGTCCCCTTATCTTACTGCTGGCATATCTGAGCTGACAGATTGGCTTGAGGTACATATAAGTATCTAGACTCCCAAGCTTGTCAAAAGATTCTCCCCGTCCCCACAGCCCTTAGCCTCCATCAAAGCCCATAAATACTAAAGAGAGAAAGTGGGAGAAAGACATTCAACTAGATTTTCAGGTAACTCAGTGACAAAGCAATGCTAAGGATCCATGACTTCCGTTTCTTGATGCAGGAAACTTACTTACCAAAGGAAATGAGAACAGAGTGAAAGGGGCAGCAGGAGATTCAAGGCGCGCGTCCAAACAAGACTTTAAATGAGATGAGCCTTCCACGTTCTGAGCTAAGATCAACCCACCCTGCTTAGCACACTGACTCTTTTTGCTTCCTCTAGGAAACAAACGATGGTGCGATTGATTTTGATTATACTGTTCTACTCCATGAATTCTCAACGCAGGTAAGACAGCACTGCATACTGAATTGTTTCTACCAGAAGGTTTTGCAGCTTATGATATTTTAGAACTCTTATTTCCTAGGAAATCATTCCCTGTCGCATTCACTTGGTCTGGTCCCCTGGCAAACCACTTACAGTGAAGTACCACTGTCAAGAGCTGCTGGCACCAGAAGACGCCTCTGGAACTGAAGAAGGATCAGCTGTGGCACCAACAGAGCTTAGTAATTTCTGAAAAGAAAAGAAAGATCTGTTTATACCAAGTTCTACACAAAATGACCATACCGAATAGCCTGAATCATTATTCTAGTAAAATAGCTAAGGCATAGGCTTTTTGATAATTTGGGAAAGACTGTGATTTCAAGTAAATACTCAAAAATTAAAAGATGTTGGGATTTTTGTTTTTCAGTGGGTTTCGCTTCGTTTTAGCTCTGGGTGCACGTGCATACTCAATTCTGTTCTTAACAGTCACCCCACAGGCTCCTCAGGGTTGCGGTCCTAAAACGTACAACCCAGTCAATTAGGACATGACACAACTGGATCAGCAAGTATTTTAACCAAACAAAAATTGAGGGTATTACCTCTAAATCTGCATGTCTCATTATTTTGAACATACTGTAGCCAACTATTTTATGTTGCTAAATTGCTTCTACCTAGTATGTAAAAAGATATATATATATTTCAACAAAAGCAAATTGTAGGGAATATATTACCTATATTATTAAGAAGAATTGTACTATTTTTTATGATTTCAAGCAAGCATTCCTTTTTAACTTGATATTTACTTTTAAAATAAATGTTTATCTTTCTAAATAAAATATTTTAAATGTGTGTGTAGATTTGTATGCATAGGCAAAATTTCTGCTAAGCTGGAATTAATTGAGCTCTTAATATTGCTTAATTCAAATTTTACAAATAAAAATATGGAGTGTCTCCCAGATAAAGCCACTGTCTGCAAACATGCGTTACATGGAACAGTGCTGTAACTGAAAGCATATCAGATATCTACAGTTTTCATTTATAGGGAAAACTTGCACCTACTGTTGGCCTCAGTAATTCATAAAAGCACACACAGTATGCACCGTAATCAAATTCGGTGGAGTGTCTCCCTAAGGCAGGAAGAATTGATCCAGGAAATGTGGCCATAATTTGCCTTTCAAAATTCTTATCATTTAATGGAACGGTTCTATCAGTGACGCAAGGTTCCTTGGCCGGTAATTGGTTAGTAAGCATCAGCCTTAAAATATACCAAAATATTACTTTTAAGTCTACAAGGAAATTGTAAAAGTTTATACTAAAGAAATATTTGAAAGACACGGACTCATACAAAATAAAAATAACATGGATGATAGTTACTTTTTAGCAGATCTAGCTTATGTGTTTTTCTATTTAAAACGCCAACCTTTGCACTCCTCTTCCCAGCACCTACCTGATTGACAGGGCCGAGTATTCTGCAGCACTGGAAACTGTCTGATGTGGGCGAACATCAGACCTCCCACCTATGTGATAACGCAGAGAAAAGATCTTTTCTAAAATACTGAACAAGCTACAAAGATTAAATCATGCCAAAATGAAGTGATGATAAACTCCTCTAAGTGAAGTTCCCTAAACAGTCGTCACGGAAACTGCCAAGAGCACCATACCAGCAGATTCGCCGTCCTGTGCCTGCCAGGCAGTCTTTCAGTGTCTCGTTAAGGCCTAGAAGGAGCTTCCAGCTTTCTGGAGTCTTAGCTTTCTCAAAGTCCTCATCCTCAGACAGGCGTTCTTCGTTAGTGAGCTGAGGCTCGCCAAGATCAGGCAGGGCTCTAAGGAAACCCTTTAACAGATTCGTTTTACATAATAGACGGAGTAAGGGGAATTCTACACATACAGACAACGCACAATTACCCAGCTGACACTTACAAATCCCACAAAAGTTAAACCAATTAAAAATTTCTCAACATCCTCATTAGAACATCTCTTTTAGCACAAACTCTAAAACTGCTGACTTGATTTCACTAATACTGATTGTGCTAGCCAATAGCAAAGACAAATTACTTCATCTGCCTTGACATAAAATGAAAAATCTAAATTCCCTAAGCCTTCTTTTCATTGAGTCTAAATTCTGCTGAATCACACTCTAAGCCAATGACAGTTATATACAGCATCACATTCATTTTCCTAACCTCTTTAGAACTTTCATAATTTTAAGACATAAAAAATAATACCAGGATTTCATCTGCATTCTGTTTGATTCTACTCATAGTTTCACTCTTCCGTTCTGAATTATGACTTGTTAGAAGTTAAAGAAGTTCTTTTGAAAGTCAGTTGGAAGTTTCTGTGTTTGCCGTTGAATGACAGCCCTTCATGACGTACGAGTTTATTACCCAGTTCCTCCCAGCTGACAACATCCTGTAACCTGTTCTGACCTTTCCTAGCTTTCCCAGCGCTCCAATAACCTAGTATGCTGCCCGGCGCTTAGCTGACTGGATAAATGAATGACTGCTCACAACACACTGTCCGTGAACACGAGAAACTATTCTGACGATGAGTCCAGTGTCATCTGGAGACTCTGGGCAGCAATTAAAGCTCTAATTCACGCAGTTACGGTTTTAGCAATGCAAACAGCTGCCTCTACAAGGGGATATATTCTTACGTGTCACAATTTACACCTACTGGTGGCTGCCTAGTTTCGTTGGCATCAATTTTAAGACTAATCCAGATTTCAAAAACATTAAAATATGAAAAATCCTAAAAGTTCAGAATTGATTAAACTTTAGTGATTTTACAACTAAACAATGTAAGAGTAAGCAAGGAGAGGACTAACAGAAAATTGACTGTCTTTCTGTAAAGGTAAACCTATCAAATAAGAGCCAACCGCCCAAACTCTAACATCACACAAAAGAGTAATACTTATTAATATAATTAAGTATAATTGGTAATAATAATATAAAAGAGCTTCCATTTCCTGTCCTGGAGGTGCAGGCAATGCTGCAGTGGTCTTTAAGCACACCTGTATAGTACAACCCCGTGGAAAACTTTCGACCCCATTTGGAGTCAGAGTAGCTAGGGCTGGCCAGCGTGTTTCTGGGCCAAGGGCCCCAGGTGGTTAAATGCGGCGGGGGGCAATCAGCACAGTCCTGCCCACTGCTGCCACATTCTCCAGCACAAGTGACAACTACCCTTCTTTAAATTAGCCACCAATTTCTCTTCACAACAATAGTATTTTAAAAAGTCCTCCTTTACGACTCCTCGTTAACTTCTTCCTCGCTCCAGACTTCGGCTAGTACGAGGTCTTCACCAGGTGGAAACAGACTCGAGAGTCAGCAGGAGGCGGCTGTCCTGGAGCCACCGTCTGCGATCTGTTCTAGTTACTCCCACCAGCTGGGCGTGTCGTTGCCCGTGTGACGCTGGCATTGGATTAGCTATCTAGACTCTTTTCTGACACTATGTTTTTTTTTAAAGATTGGCACCTGAGTTAACATCTGTCGCCAATCTTCTTCTTCTTCTTCTTCTTCCCCCCAAAGCCCCCCAGTACATAGCTGTATATTCTAGCTGTAGGTCCTTCTGGTTGTGCTGTGTGGGACACTGCCTCAGCATGGCTTGATGAGCAGTGCCATGTCCATGCCCAGGATCCAAACTGGCAAACCCTGGGCCGCCGAAGTGGAGCACACGAACTCAACCACTTGGCCACGGGGCTGGCCCCTCTGACGCTATATCTTGATAGCCAGAATGTTCCGCAAGTAAAAGACACATCCAAATTTATCCATCTTAGTTCCAGCATTTCTGACTGTTGAATAGCCAGAGGAACTGTGCTAAATTCTATGAAGGTTATTTCCTCGTCAGGAACAATATTCAGAGTCATTGCGAATCGCATGAGATGCTGACGAAATGCCAAAGCCACATTTTTCAGGCTTGATGCTATTATAGCAAGACACATTCATGGGAAAAAGACACTTGGTTTGATGAATAACTAAATTATCAATTTCAAAACTTAACGAGCTGTGTGGTCTTGGACAAGTTATTTACCTTCTCTGTGCTTCTGCTTCCTCTATTACAAAAGGGACATCATAATAGTACCTACTTTCATAAGGTTGTGAAAACTAAATTAGATAATGTGTTTAAAGCATGGTCAGCCCTCCATATACGAGGCTTCCACATCTGCGGATCCAACCAACCATGGACAGAAAGGCCTATGATGGTTGTGTCTGTACTGAACGTGTACAGACTTTTTTCTTTGTCATTATTCCCTAAACAATACAGTATAACAACTCTTTATATAGTTTTTACACTGTATTAGGTATTATACATAATCTAAAGATGACTTAAATTGTATGGGGGGATATGTTTAGTTTATATGCAAATACTGCACCATTTTATACAAGGGACTTGAGCATCCTTTGGGTATCAGAAGGGGTCATGGAACCAATCCCTGTGGATACGAGGGACAGCTGTATTTAGCAAATGCCTTGAAAACATGTCTTCAACACTTTTTAAAAAGTCTTAAACACTTTTAAAAAACTTTTTAAAAAGCCTAGAAGGCTTAAGTCATAAAGCCAAATCTATAAGTCAAGAAAAACAAAGGAATTTAAAAGTTATTTTATTTCTATTATCCACAAGAGAAAGGACTAGGATGTTATCTATCACATCAGATGATTTTTCTGGATGAAGCAATTCGGAACAGCATGGTAAAAGTACCTGGGAAAGTCCACCTCATTCTAGGAAAAAAAGCTTAACATTTGTTCTTTCACACTCTCCATGAATACAATATATGATAAATTCAAACAGACTCAAATTCAACTAGAATTTACTATGTGAATGAAACTGACTGGTCAGCAACTCTTTAAACTCTATTTTCTTTTTAGAGCCGCAGAGACATTCAGAAGAACAGAGACAAGAAGAGCATGTGCAAGGGGCTGTTCTTCGTTTCACAGGTCTGCAAGGAAGGCAGTTATAAATTTGGACAAGTCACAAATTGAAGCAGTTGGTTATATATAAAACAGCTGGAAATTTAGCTAGCATTTTAATATCCCAATGAAGAATCTGAAAAACATTCTCCATTAAGAACACATGGAATCCACTTGAACAAAAAAGGCTGCTCATTAAAAGATGACACTCCAGGGCCAGCCCGGTGACCTAGCGGTTAAGTCTGGTGGCTCCACTCTGGTGGCCTGGGTTCAGTTCCCGGGTGCAGACCTACATCACTTGTCAGCAGCCATGCTGTGGTGGCAATCCACATACAAAATAGAGGAAGACTGGCATGGATGCTAGCTCAGGGCAAATCTTCCTCAGCACAAAAAAAAAAAGGACACTCCAAGAAGCATCATGATTTATGCAATTCACTTTCAAGTATTCAGCAAAACAATAATTAAAAAAAAATTTTTAAATAAAGAGATAGGTAGGCAAATGATAGACAAACAGATAAAGCA